TTTTTTTTTGCCTGGCTTAAAAACTATAACAGGACGTTTCGGTTGTTGCTGCAACAAGAATTCCAATTTTTAAATTGCAGCCCCCTTTCAATTGAACCTTCATTGACACATTTATATATTGCACAGCTTTTTTCTTTTTTATTCATATAACATCAAGGACGCCGATGCTTATGCACATTTTTGGCTGAAAGAAGGTTACAGCAGCAACCGAAACTTCCAGTGAAAGTTCTTAAGCCAGTAAAACGTTTTTAATCAATTTTTACAACTCGTATATTTCAATGCAAAAATCAACAGAACCAATTTAACTTCTATTTTAAGGTGCCAAAATAGCATTTGTTCACTGTGAAAAGTTAGGGCTTCAAAGCGCTGTACAAAGGGAATTTATTTTGCCCAAATTAATGATTTTTATGTAGCTTTTGACGTAAGTAGATTCAGTACTCTGTTGGGGGAGTTTTTGTCATCCGGGATATAGACATTGCTAATCGTGGTCCACTTTCTCTTTTGCCCTGCATTCTCAGCAAGTGAAGGGAATATTCCTTCCCTTAACATCCTATTTTCTCTAGCTAGCGGTTTCTCCCTCACCTTTGCTGGGCTGATACTTCAGTATGTTTGTAATGTAAGCTTTATAATCTTCCTATATCAAAATACCAGGCTACACCTGTGGTCAATATGTTCCACTTGGGAGTGTTAAATTTTATTTCCCAGCAAACAGAGCGCAGTCCGAAAGCAGCACCCTCGCGAGTTACGTATATGTTGCATTGCAGAGTATTAGGAACAAAATACAGAAAGACGTTTTTATATTAACAATATATTTCCCTAAAAATGTCCAGAGATATTGTTGTTCAAAGGACTATAATTCAAAAAGCAGCGACCCTTGTGAACTTGAGAGAACTGTGCTGATTGGAAATAACAACTTTCAATTATCCCGTAGTACCCGTATCCTGTTGTGTTGGAAATTATGCAATTAATTAGACATTTCTGTGGTTATCGGTTTTCGAAACGGTGAGAAAGAACGTTATCTGACAGTAACCGAGTAACGGTTAAAGTTATGAGGATTGTTTACGCTTACGCCACTTTTGACTTTTAAAGGTCACTGTAGAACCATGAGGTATAGCAATCAAATCAAAGTCAAAAATATTTCATGGCTGGCTCAATTTCTCGGCAAATAAAGACTTGTAACGACGCCTGTAGATCTTCCATGGCATTCTCCTTTTTGGGAACAATTAGTTTATTTAATTTAGCGACTTTTTTTAAATACATTACTACGTCTTTATAGTAAATACCTGATCCAAATTTGTTTCAGTGATATCAGACTTGATGTTTTGGAAAAAAAATCGCTGACATTAATCTCTGGGTTTTAGGATAGGCAGTTTCTTTCCGTGGTTTTATCAAAAGCACGTGCTCGAGCTGTCATATGTTATTAATTACAGACGTTAATTTGAATTTTCTGCTAACTAGCAATGATACAATAAATTTACATTTTCTGAAAAAGAACATGGATGCTAACAACGTACTTAAAAATTAGTGAATAAAGTTGAAGCTCAAATAAAGCCTTAGCAAATAACTTTGAAACAAAGGATCATAAAGTGAACAACATTTGATCTTAAAAATCAAAGCGTTGTTACAGACCATGCATGCCACTATTCATGAGTACCTGCGGGTAGAGTCTGTCGCAAGAACCCTTTGTAACGTTTCCGTTAAGACACCCTCGTGAGTGATGTCACACTCAAAAGTTTCTTCAACCACCGAGAATCTAAGCTAGCGATACACGTTCTTTAGGTGTTCCCCACTGAAGTCGACATTTATCAGCGCAAAACAATTTTGTTTCCCTCTTATGTCGCCTGACAATGTTGTCGCTAGCTTGACCTTCTCTCAGAAGGAATTCTTACGTCAAGTAAATGACGTAAGCTTTCTGTTGTTTGCGTATGCCCGATAGGCATCTCGTCACAGGGATAAAAATATCGGCTCTCTGATTGGCTAACCGGTTTGTAAGCCATTTCAAGTCAGTTGCGCGGCATTAATGTATCTTAGCAACGTTTATCCCCTGCAAAAATGAACACTTAACAAACCGAAAACAACATCTGACTGGTTTATCTTAAAAACACATCGCTTACCTAGTCGTCGGCCTGTAAATCAATCTTTTTTTTTTCGGTTGTTGCTCCAGGAACTAAAAAAAAACTGAAAAGTTACTAGGATAGCGACAAATTGATTGTCAACGTAAGTGGCTATTAAAAGCAAATAGCTTTTAGCAATGACAGCAATTAGGCTATCTTTAATCGAGATAAAAGTTAAAAAAACAAGAATTCACACTTACATTAGCCACGGATTCATACATTGTCTTGTTTCCAGTGGATTTTTGCATATTAAGTAAGTTTTAACTCGAGTTTTAGTAGCCGGGTTGGGGGAGACATCAAAACGAGCCTACGTTAAGTTATATGAATGATTACAATCAATCAAGCATTCAATCGCGTTTACATCCTAATATACAATACATCTCAAACACAAGGCCTTGAATGTTAATGGAAATTCGATGTTGAATATTTACCTTTGTGAATCAAAATTAGAATTCAGAATTTCACGTTTTAAAGTTAAAAACAAATTCAGTTCATTTGAATTTCACATTGTTCAACTTACAAAACAATGAAATAATTTTCTTTTACAATATGAAAGGATATTTGAGCATTTGAGCGTACAGGTTGAAAGGACAACGAAGGAAGGTTCTTTCTTTAGTAAATACGAAACCATTAAAGCGCCTTAAATTTAGATTATACAAGTAATCATAACAAAACAAGCCAAACAACCTTGTACATCAGTTTCCCGTGAAGATACCTTAAGGTGGCGGAACACAGTTTTCGCGCGCGCTTTTGCTGATGCAATTCAGCGCGCGCACAAGGATTGGAAAAACAAATATGCCGTCAATAGAGCGA